CTGCCGTAGATGGAGTCTCCTCTGCTGCTTTCATTGAGTAGCCCATGGAAAGCTGGGTGACAGCAGAGATAGCCTGTTTGTTGTTGTCTGCTGGGACAACGCAGTAACTACTATAACAGACCACCCCCGTGGTTTGCTTGGTCCACCCAAGGGTGACGGGGGGGGGGCAAGTCCCCCCTCCGGACCCCCCCCCCGCGTTGCGATGCTTGGTTCGCCACACGCGTGTTTTGCTTGGTTCTAACATATATTTACTTATTTTTAACAATGGCCGTGTATTAGGGAGCAAATCTGTTGCTCGTGAGACACTTGTCTCCAGATACGCGCTGAGGCTCAGCACCGTTCACACCACACATCGCACAAGTTCCCCCCCGACTCTAAACCTGTGGAACATCATGACTGTCTTGGAGGCATGCGGAGGCGGCATTCTCGTTCCCCAGATTATGTCTTGCCCAAAAATGAAAATTTGAACAGGGCGTTTGGCTCAGCTACAAGTATATTCTTGAGCTGGGTAGAAAACAGAGTGAGCTTCATGAGGCGCTCTGACTCTCATCACAACGACTTTCTTCGGCCACTGCCAAAAAACGTGCCTTGACACAAACAATACCAACACCCCGTTTGTCCCGGAAGCTTAGCGTTCGGGAAACGTTCCGCTCTGGGAACATGGAATATGTACATAGATGAACCGACCTTCACTGAGAACGTTGAGAAGCGTTCTTTGGGAATTTTCTCCGCTCTACAACAAAATATCCTACGAACGGTTCCGGAGTCTACCGAAGCACCTGCAGGAAGACGCGGTCTCATTTTCACCTCGTAGGTCTTCGGCTTTGGCATTGAATTAGGGTGAAGAGAGCGGATGGTTCTTTCGGTGTGGGCGACACGTTTGCAAACCGGCACCGCAGGCACACATGTCACTCGCCGTCTCGGCAACTCGCGGAAGAGAGGGGGTTGTGGGACGTGGGAGCAACACGTCCGCGCTGCTGCACACCTAATGCGGCAACCCGCTTGTGAATCTATCCACCTCGCAGTCGTCTCTCGACAACCGTTTCACAAGAGAAAGGCGTGAACTTTCTTTTTTTTTTTCCGTTTCCTCTTAGATTTTTTATCCAAGCGCTACCCAGATTGTCCTAGATGCTTTACGAGGCGTACTGACACAGCTTGCTTCTTCTCGCATGTAGTGTGCCTTATCATTGATACCGACATACAGGTACCGCTTGGTTCTCCCACATTGCTCATGATATGAGCGACTCCGGCACTGCCGTTGCTGCATTCATGAGCACCCAACAGCAGTAGTTTTTGGCAAGGTCTGATGTAGTTACATTTTTTTACCCCAAATACCCGCACAGTATTCCATTTTTGAAAAATCGAAAAAGAAGAAGAGCATCCCATGCTCCTAGATATTCGCAGCGTGTGGTATTCCACGTTAGGGGGTTGACGGCACTGATAAAAGTTTTTATTCGATCCCCGACCTGCGAGTTGTTTGTCCACACCAACGGCTCCAGCGAACGACCTACCTCAACTCTTACGGCTGGCTTCTGACGCCACAACACACCCCGCTGCAAGCAACAACCTAGATCACTCTGCGGCTCAATCTGCGACGCCACACAACGCCACGGAAGGCGTCCACGTCAGTTGGATCGGCACGGCTATCAGACGGTTGTTAGCGTAGGCCGGAACGGTTTTTGATGTGAAGACAGCAACAACAACAACAACAACAACAACCAACAACAACAACAACAACAACCAACAACAACGCAACCGCCGCTGCTGATCGCCCCTCCCGCCCGCCGTGCTTTCTGCGGCCGCTGCTACTGCTGCCCCGTTGAACCACGAACCAAAGGGCCGGCCATGGCCGACGCCGTCTTCATGAACAAGGAGGAGGTGGACCTCGCGCCCATCTACTACGACCCCGTGCACGACTTCGGCTTCTACCGCTTCGATCCCAAGGCAGTCAAGTTTATGGAGGTGAGGCATGTTTCGTTTCGTGAGTCTATTCATCGGAATAGACTGTTTTCGTTGCTCGAGGGTGGTTCGAACGAGTATGGGGAGCGCGCCACCGCACGTGATTTTTCCGATCAGCATCCTCGTCTGCCGGTTCGTTGTTGGGGATCTGCTAGTGGTGCGTCTGGAGAGTAGGTGTGTAGCTCCTTTTTCAGGTACAGTTGTGGTTGGCCTGTCGCCACGGAAGGCGCGCGCTTCAGTTGGACCGGTACAGATATACCGGTCGCCCCGGTGGTCTAGTGGGTAGCCTCGCAGCCTGCTAAGGGCCAGGTCATGGGTTCGAGTCCCGGCAGAGAGAGTTTTTTTCTCACTAAATAAATCCTGGTCTAGGATGAAAGCGACGCGCTGCGAAGCTCGTTTGTTAGTAAACCATAATCGACTTCGTAAGTCGCGAGGGAAGGGATTGCTGTACCCTTCTCGCGATAAAAATACCTCAGGCATGAACCGCAGGAGGGGGTCCAACCCCCCCCTCCTATGTGACCCCGGTTGGGTCGTCTAGCTAGTAGAAGTGGAGGATAGGGGCCAGAGGGGCAGACGACAGAGTCCAATGATGGGAGAAAAAAAAAAAAAAAAAAAAAAGATATCATTTAGAAGGTTCTGAGCGGAGACCGGAACGGTTTTTAATGTGAACACAAAAGCAACAACAACAGCAACAATTGAGTGCGCCTGGAGCAGCAGCGCGGGACACGTATCCCGACCGGCGACATAAAAACGACTCTTGCCCGCTGATCTTCGAAGTCATATTCTCCAACGGTTTAATCCTTCCGATGTTGGCGGAACACGACCGCGGTACAGGCGAGGGTGGGCGATTGAATGGTTTGCAGCATTTTCTTGCTTTATTCCATGTATCCTGTGTCCACAACCACCACCACCATCGCCAAAAAACATCAATAGCGCTAGTGNCCCCCCCCCCCCCCCCCAAGTACTCTTACCCACGGCCGCGAACTTGTTCTTTACACTTCTCTGCAAGCGTGATGATCATTTTTTCGTCATGTACAGGAATGCAACTTGTCACTCTTTCAGTTCGCCGCTCATGCACGAAACCCCTCCCTTTCCCTTGAGACAGGTCGCCGAGGTGGAGCTCAACCCTGACGGGGCAAAGGTCGGGGTGGAGATCCGAGTGGTTGGGAACGACAGCGGGGAGAAGCTCAGGTAGGGGCGGTGTGAAGAGGATTCCAACTTGGTTTACAGCAGTGAGCATGAATGCCGATTTCGTTTGTTGCTTCTGAAGCGGTATGGGGGGTACTGACGCTGTTTTTTTGCCTATGTTCGAAAATATAGTGGACATTCGGATACAACCGCGAGTGCGTCAATAGTCCCTATTTTGCCGAAAAGAGCGGAATTTCACAGCATTTCACGACGTGGGCTACGGGGGAGACCAGGATCTCACCGCAACCACCGTAAACGGGGCTGCCAAGCAAACCAAGGGAGTCCATGTCCGGCCCGTATTGTCTCCAGCCCTTCAGTTGTCTTGTGTTAGCAAGAAGAACGCGATGATCGAAGAAAATAAGCGTGTTGCACGGCTCTCCTCCCCCCGTTTGTGGANCCTCCATTCTATGTCAGAGGAACAGAGAGAGAAAGAGAGAGAGAGAGAGAGAGAGAGAGAGAGAGAGAGAGAGAGAGAGAGGAGAGAGGGAGAGGGTGTTGCCTTGGTCGCCCACAGGACAGCACGAACAGGACAGGCACACGTCATCCGTTCCCGTACCACCGGTACACCGACACCCCCTACCCCCGACCTTTACGACGATGCACCGCACAGCAAGCAGCATTGATGCCACTGCAAGGGTCATGCTTCGAGCTTACTGTAGCACCGACAACCAACTTGTGGTACTGAGCATCTGCGTTGTTTCTTTCTTTTTTATCTATATTGCGCCACCACGTTGTCGAAGAGCTGGTGGTCATCCAACTGCAGTGGTACACGTGTAGCACACCCTCTTTCGTTGCAGGAGGCACAGGAAAACGCTTGATGTATCATATGACCCATGAGCGTGTGTGGTATCGCGTGTCAGCAACATCCTTCCTGGCATTAGTCACAGGAGACACAGGCAAACTCTTGGATGTTTCATTTGATAACATTCGCGTGTGTACGGTGTTTGCGTGTCAACAGCATCCTTCCCGGCATTCTGGCGAGGCTCGATCGCGCCGCACCGGAGTACGACACACTGGGTTACCGCGACTTCAACACATTCTACCTTGCGGCGGCGAGCTCCACGAGCGGAGGGAGCAGCGGGAGCCCGGTCCTGACCGTGGACGGGAAGGTGCTCTTTTTTGGTGTTGTTTTTTTTTTGTTTTGTTTTTGGTGGGGTCGTGGTCATGGGCGGTTGCTCGCGCTCGCTAGGGGCCGACTTTGCGAGTTACAGCCTCAGCAACAACAACAACAACAACAACAACAACAACAACAACAGCAGCAGCAGCAATAACAGCATTAGCAACATTACAGTATCAACAACAACGACGACAAAAACGAAGACGAAAGAATCAACAACAACGGACAAGGGGTCGTTTGCAACGTAATTCACGAAAGAGTTGATGTTTTTTTTAGTGCTGACAAACCCGCGAAGATTGAAGCTATTTCTACCGAACATATATAGAATTCCACAAATGCTCGAGCTGTCTTGCTTGCCTTGTCCGTCTGGTTGTCCTTCCCTGTCTCTGTTCCGTCACCTCTCTGCTCTTTCTCCCTAACTTCGAGCATCCGTCGTCGTCTCCATCTTGTGTCTCTTGTTTTCTCCTGCGGTGATACGGCGTGTGGTTTTTCTGTTTCAAGGCGGTTGCGCTGAACTGCGGCTCACGTGTGGAGTCAGCGGCGGCGTTTTACCTCCCGCTTACTAAGATAGTCAGGGCGCTTGAGCTCATCCAGCGAGGGGAGAAGGTCAGCCGGAGGTTCTGCCTCATTTGCTTGCTGCATGTACTGCGGTTGTCGTGTCTTTGTCAGATTGGACGTTTGCTCTGGTTGATGTCTGGGCGTAGTCTTCCCCCCCCCGACTCAGTCTCCCCCCTCCCGACTCTCACGGCCGGTGTCTGCACTGCATGAAATTGAACAAACCACATCGCAAACAGGTAGCGCCCGCACGTAAAGAGCCTCATTTGTTGGCCGAGGCTCATTTATGGTTTAGCTATGGGGTACGCGAAACAATTAGTACTATGTACCATATACCTTTAGTGTGGGCTTCTCGAAATGGTTACCTGTGCTCATGGTCAAGTTCTTCTATTTTCTGACTGCGGGCGCTAGTTGTTACCGTTACACGACGAAATTTAACGACGTGTCGCAAACCTAAACTAGAATCCAATCAAACTTCTACACTGAGTTCCAGCCGAAACATTGGCGAAGAACTTCAAACACCCAAAAAGAAACCTAGGATTCAGTGTGTGTGAATTGTCGTCCTATTAATTATAGTGGCAGTCCCCCCATTTTTCGTGGTGAGACGTGTACTACACGACTTAGTACCCCATTCAACCGAAAAATCCAACACAACGCCTGACGAAAAACATCGGCACAGGTGACCCGAGGAACGTTGCAGACGGTTCTGAGGCACATCGCCTTCGACGAAGCCCGCCGCCTCGGGCTCAAGCCGGACACCGAGGCGCTCCTCCGAAAGGAGTTTCCGGAAGAAACAGGCGTTCTCGTCGTGGGCGAGGTAAGTACGGCCAGTCGGTGCAGGTGTTGTTGGTGTTGTTGTTGCTGTAGTGGCAGTAGTAGGAGTAGTAGTAGTTGTTGTTGTTGTCTCGCGTTATGAAAAAAAGTTGTTCTGGTCTCTGATTGAGCACCTGCTAACACCCACCTTGTTGTCCGTGTTGTTGGTTGTTGGTTGGTTGTTCTTGTTTTGTTTTTCTTGTTGCCTTTGCGCCAGAAACCCCCCCGACATTCCGGTCTCTGGCTCAGTACCAACAACACCACCACCACCAAACCAATGACAGGTAGTCCCCAAGGGGCCCGCGGACGGCGTGCTGGAGCCGGGAGACATTGTAGTGCGCATGAAGGGCGAGACGATCACCACCTTCTTGCCGTGGGAGTCGGCCCTCGACGACGGTGTTGGAGGGGAGGTGCAGGTGCACGTGCAGCGAGGGGGAAAGGAGGTCATCGCTCGGTTGACGGTCGGGTGAGAGAGAGCCCCCCGTTTCTTGGTTGTTCTTGTCTCGCTCATACGAAAAGAATATGCGGCTCCGTTATCGTTTTTTATTTTTCGTGGACCATGTCCTTGCGCTTGAGTTTTTCGCCGAGGTATAGAGGAAAGGACAACAGCGCCGGAAAATAGAGGTAAGGAATTTGAGCTCAGGCTGAGGGTGAACCGCAGGCCTCCGTTCGGCGCCTGAGAGCGAAGCGGCGGGATTGCGCCCACTCTCGAGTCGACACGATAGCGTCAAATGTTGGCGCACGACGCAGGGGCCGCCGCTCGGCCTCCCGCTCCGCGGAGCCCGCCGGGAGTCCTCTCTCAGCGAGACGCCGCCGCTCGGGGCTCCGGGCGTCCAGCGACGGGAGAGCTGCACGCGCCGGCGGGACGGTTCAAAACCACGTCGTCGCGCTTGTTTCTCTCTACCTCGGATCCCTCCGCTCGGGACTGGCGCTCCAATCAAAGAATCGGCGATCCGATTGGTGGACCGTTTTTTTAAATATTCTTGATGCACAAAATGCCGGGGGAGTGCCTGTGGTGTGTACATTGCGTTTGATCGAGAGTGTCGCAAAAGTCTATGTTTAATTGGCTCTGGGCATGGCACTGTAGGCATGCGACTTTGCTGTCAGACGTGCTGTCGGTATACGGCGCCTTGAGGGTGAGGGTGAGGGTGTGCCGCGAGCAGTGTTACCGGTATTTTATGCCGGGATTGCGTGTTCGTGCGGCAAGCTGTGTTGTGACCTCAAGAAGGACAGACGTGTGTTCTTGAAATTCTTCTGTCGTGCTGTCGGCATTGATATAATGTTCTCGGAACGAAATTCGATAATTCCATTTTGGGAATTTCCAAAATCATGGAACAAGTTCGCATGTGTACGCTACACACAGCCCCAGCCACCGAACAGCAAGTAAGTCATGAACACCCTGTCCAAGGCCTCCCCCCTGAAGCGCAAGCAAGACGAAGCAGCCGCCCCGAAGGCCAAGCCGCGCGCCCTGCTCACGCTAGGCGTTGAGGGTTGGCCCTGCCCCTCCGCTCGGGACTGTAAAGAACAAGCGATCTTGCTACACGGAACTGTCTTCGGGGTATTGTTGGGAACTTGAAGTTTCACACAATTCGGAACATGTCTACAATTATGCAGCAACACATATGCATCGCCACTACATCTGTGCGCTTCCAGCGTGAGAACAGCATCAGGTGACTGTAGCGTCATAATGTCTCAAAATCCGGTGGGAATAGGCACCTTTCTCGGGCTTTTGGGCGCTCGACCAAGCACTGGATTGGGGACAAGCGAGAGGGGGCAGCTGTCCATAACGTCTCACCAACCCCGGGCTTTACGCTTTGGACCTCGAAAAACGTGCATCTTGCCCCCGGATTTCGAGACACCATGATGCTACGGTGGGCGTCGGCCAATCAGATGGTGTCATGCGGTCGCTCCCAGCAGCTTCTTGTAGGGGAACCCGATTATGGCCGTGTTCTGACCGGGTGTACCCGGTTTTGGCCGCTGTTTTTTTTTTTTTTCATGATGTTGTTTGTCCACTGCTGTCTCTCCCCCCGATCCAGCGCTGTGGTGCATGCTTATAACCTCCAAGAACATGCATCCTCCCTCCCGATTTCGAGACACCACGATGCTGTGGTCACTTGCTACTGTTGACACGCTGGAAACGAGCGAATACAGCGCTTCGCCGCCCGCGGCGAGGGTGTTTGCATTTGCTGGGTGACAACACCGCTCTAATATCAAGTCGTTTTTCCGGCCTGGAATCAGACTGTTTGACGGTGGAACTCGCATGTTTTTTTTTTTTCTGTTCAGTTCTGTCATGTGGGAGACGTTGTGGACAGCTGCCCCCCCCCTCTCATGATTCTGACTGCTTTGCTGAACAACCAAATTTCCTTGGAAGGATCTTCATCGACGAAAAAGCTCGCGCCTACGGCTTATGACCGAAAATCAGCTGAGTGTGCGCCACAAGCTTCAACCTTTGTTCAACAATTGTCATTTTGTTTCAGAGAAGCCGGTAGCCTAAGTGTGTACGGAGAGCACGAGAGCATGATGACGCACGCTTCTCTCGACTTCGAACCTGCGTCTATCGTTCTTTTGCTGTAGCGAACACCCGTCCCACTTGGTATGTGTTCCAAAATTGTAAATAAAACTGTTAGCTTACCTCATCACATAAGTAGCTTATACCGTTCGTTTCGTATGCCCATGGACTCTCCGACGGGGGACGAGGGGGGCGGTAGCCCCCCGCGTCCACCGCCCTTGTATTTCGGTAATATTGCTGCTCGTCTGTTTTTGCCTACGTCCACGGTTGAATGGCAGTCGGGCGAGAGTCTCCCCTTCTTGTTGTTCTTGTCTCCATTGTCGTCCTCATACAAAATAGAAAGGGCTTCGCTCGTTTTCTTCTTTTTGTGGACCAGGTCCTCACGCCTGAGCGTTTCGCCGGCATGTTTGGAAGGAAACAACGTGAAGACAGCGCCGGGGATGTTCGGAAACAACTACCTTGGAAGTGCATGTTGCTTTGTTTTGCACTCCGACCACGGTTTGGCGTTCGAATGAGAGAGTCCCCTCTTTCTTGTTGCTCTTGTCTCTTTTTGTCTCACTCGTACGAACATAGAAAGGACTTCATTTTTTTTTTTGCCGATCTCCCCCCCTGGTGTTTGCCATCGGGGTTGGGTTTTCGTCGCTTGGCAATGACGTTGTAAAACAAGCCGCCCCCCCCGGTGTTTGCCGTCGGGGTTGGGTTTTCGTCGCTTGGCACCGACGTTGTAAAACAAGCCAATTCACTTTGTGAACTCGGCAACCAGGTTACCGTTTTTTTTTTTTACCTCCGGTTTTTTTTTTGGCGGTAACAATAATGGTGGCCGAGTAGATCATGTTGTGCGGGGTGGAGAACCCTCGCTCCGCGCAAGGGGGATGATCGCACCACGTTGTGTTAAAATGGTCAAGCACCCTCGAGGCAGTTACACAGTGCTTACAACTGTCTCTGGAAGTGAAAGCACCAGAAA